CCATTACTCGGCCGTTCTCCCGCATCGGGGAAATATATCTTGCAGGGCAAAGTTCTGCCGGAGCATCAAAAATTGGTGGATATTCCCTCGGGGGTGGGAGCTAAATCATTTAAATTTCTGCGCAAACGACCGCGCGCACATGCGGGCGGCGGAACTCACGCTCTTCTGGCGGAGGAAAGTTTAAAAAATGACGGGAAGGCAGGAGGGGGAGAAGAGAAAGAGAGAAGAGAAAAAAGGAGCGCGAGGAAAGGGTATTATCCAGCTAGCGAATCGCCCGAAAGTTTCGCGTCGAGGGTGATCTCGCTCGGAACTATCCTCAAACTATCGTCAAACTATCGTTGCTACTGACCTTGTTTTCTGGGCCGCGCCGAGTGTACGACGTGCCGAAAATCTTGCGGAAGTTCGCCGCCTCGCGAATATGTATGTTCGACAAAGGAATCTCCATTTTAATAGTTCTGTTTGCTTTAGATGTTGCCACACCGAGACAACAGTACTTCGTTCCACCGATTTACTTCATTGAGCGCGAAATTGTTTAGGATTTTCAGCATTATAACCGAAAATCATACAAAAATGATCATAAAAAATGAAAAGTAATTAAATTTTTTATGTAATTATATTTATGATATATAATTATAAATATAATTATATTTATAATTGTACATAATGATATATAATTATATGTGAATGGGATATAATTATACACAATTCCATTTTTTATAATCATTTTTAATGGAATTACAAATTATATACAAAATTATATTTCATTTTTCATGATCCTTTTTATGCAGTGGGATTTCAATATTATAAAATTATATATTTATATTTTATAATATTGTACAATATAATAAATAATAATGATAATTAATATTACATTCATATTTTATAATATTATATTAAAAAAATATTTCTGGTTTGCATTCAAATAATTTCTAATAAAATTTCACCGTTTAAATTTTTATAGAAATGTATATACACATATGTATAACACCTATAGTTTTTATTCTTCATGTTATGCTTTAGATTATTACAATGATATTGGCGATATCGGCAAGTTTATGAAATTTAAAATCCTCGTTAGCAAAGCCGGGAAATGTTTGCACGTGATATCGAGAATGTCCTCGAAGAGGATTTACATTTTTATTTCCCGATACTACAGGCTCGTTTTTGTTGATGGGGATTACCGCCGATCAACGATAGCACGTGTAGCGAAAATTAACAAAAAAATTGCGCGTCGACGCTTCCGGGGATTCCACGTCTTCTCTTTTTTAGCTTTGGTTACATATGTTTACGATTACCTATACGTGAATATTTCGTAAATGTTTAATTGGCTCGCTTATTTTAAAAGCGGTGCTAGTTAAATTAAAAAAAAACGAATTATATGTGAATTTCAGTAAAGTGCATTTATATTTGCACGGAATGTATGGATTTTTTAATTGAAAATTCCCGATCTTATGCTATTTTTTAAATAAATAACAAATAATATATGACAAATAAGTCTGATAAATAGCTAATAAATATTATAATAATTAATAATTTGGTAAAACGTTTTCGCACGCACATTTTGTTAACAAAATCTTCCAAAGTGAACTTATATCATGTTTAAACCAAACGACTCGATGCGATCGTATTAAGATATAAAAACTGTTCGTTGTATTCGTCAGGATTTGTTTTGCTATTCGCGAAGGCTGACCTCGTATGTGTGCTACATCTCGCAAATAGTACGTCCTACGTGATGTTCCGGCTCTTAGACGAGAGGAGAGGCCGGTGAATCGGGAACGTCATTTGTAGAATATTGGAGTACAATCTCGTGGATTGCGTTCTTCGGAACATTCGATTCTCAATAGCGAAGAGACCAGAAATACAGAAGTGAGAGAGAGAGAAAGAGACAGAATTGAAGACCAGTGGAGATCTCGAAAGAAGATAACGTACCGCGGCACGAAATAGGCTCTGAATCTGCTCGTGTTTCTACTGATATCGCATTTACTATCAAAAATAGTTTTTTCTTGGGAAAGAAGTAAAAGAGAGCAAGATGAGAAAAATATAAAAATATTAATTTAACGCAGCTTATAGAGAACTGAAAATGTATTTATAATTCATACAGAAGGTATTATTATAGACATATATGTATATCTAGCATTGACCGTTTTGGTATTTCTATATTTATTTATGTTATTCATTATGTATATATAGCGGTCTAATTTAACTTATTACTGATTTAATTATATTTAATTTAATTTGGTACGCTACGCAAATGTTGTACTTGTATTTAAATCTTTCCTAATACATCATGTATTGGAAGAATTCTTTTATCTCGATTGTCATTAATTATAGATCAATATCTACTTTCAATCATCTTCTCATTTGTTTTCAGACTTGATATTAAATAATTTTCATTTGCATTTAGTAACTTTGCAAAGCAAAAGCACTTGCTTTCACGAATTTTTATAGCCGTGCTTATTCGTGTAGACTCATTATTTTGAAAACGGAGCAACAAGATGCACATTTGACACATGTCGGTGCAAGCGAACAGATGAATCAAAAGTGTTCTGTTGAAGTAAAACATAATTCCGCGCGTACGCAGGAAATATCCGGGGCGTTATCGCGTCGATTCAATGTCCTTTCGTATCCTGTCTCTCTCTCTCTTTCTCTCTCTGACTCTAGTGAGATCTCGTTTCCAACGGAGAATGCCGACAGGCGAATTCACATTCAGTATATCGAGGATTCCAGAGAAAATGACGTATCCTCAGATTCAGCGAACAAGCTCCTGTCTCGTTGGTATCGACAGAAGGATGCGACGAATGCGTCGCGCTCGGAATCGATTCTGTCGAGGACATACGCTTAACCGTTGTTGATAGAAATTACCGTAATTACGTAACGATGATTGAATTTTACATTACGCCGCGTGAATTAATCCACAACTATCTCGATATATCCCTAATATAGACTAGCCTCTATTTAAACTCTCTGCGGGATATAAATTAAACCTTTTGGAACACGTCGTCGTTTATATAAAGAAACCATTTTAAAGACTACCCTCGCTTTAGAGATACCGTTGAAATATAAATCGTCACATTTTCGCAAGTTCTAATTGAGTCTTTATTTTAATCTCGCAATTGTACTGCTGTCTGCGAATTCAATTCGAATTCTCAACAGTTGTACGTAAGTTTCGCAAGTAGTAAAGCGTTATAATCAGACAGTACGGGACGTAAGTAGAAACGGCCGTATAGTCAGACAGCCTGGAAATAAGTGGAAAGATCACGCTATGATCAGACCAAACGGGACATAAAATTATTATTGATGATAAATATACTTGAAAATACTTGTATGTGTTCTTGTATTTTATTTAATGTATAATTTATTATAAATATTTTTAAAAAAATTATCTTATCTTTTTCATATTATTATCAGTCTAATCGCGTAAAACGCGATACTGTCAGCGCCATAAAAGTCCATTCAACGAACTGCAGTTTCACTTCTCTTTAATTAATTCTAAATAAAGATATCACACTATTGACAGCTTGTTGCGAGAAAATGATTCGCCCCTCATTTACAGCCACGCGAATTCCATTTAATTCGGTTTAATACAATCTCAAGTTATGAGTTAATTATAAACCAATATAATCAATTTACTGTGCCTCAATATCTTGAAATAGCCAGTATCTTTCTGCAAATTAAAAGTAAAAAAAAAAAAAATATCACTGGATATCCAAACAAAAATCTACTGCAAAATATTTCAGTTATTCCTTTTGATATTAATCCCTCTTTCTCGCCCTTTGACATGTATACAGATCTAGGATGCTTCTTTTCATTCTAATCGCTTTCACCTCAAGTTTGCGAACGAACGTCGATTTCCCTGGTTCTGTAATGTATCGACATAATCCTTTTCATCGATCGGCGTGACCGATTCGGTTATATATATCCGACGCGGCTGTCATCAATACGTAATACGAAAGGGCTATTCATCGAGTTTCTCGGTAGCCTCGCTTTCCTTTTACCGACCCCGTAGGAGGAGATAGCTCCCGGCGGCTGACAGCTTGTACCAGGGAGCTTGTGGGGAAAGATGATGTAGCATCGCGGCAATGCGGCGGCGGCAACGGCGGGATGAACTCGCGCCTCGTTTTGTGCCACAGCGCAAGAACGCGCCGTCTGGATACGCTACCCGGCACGTTTTGCCGGCCGGCCGGCTGACCGGCCAGCAGCCAGCCAGTCGACCCTGGGGAAGATGAATTACATCGGGACGTGATGGTGCCGTCTGCTCACGGTCGCACCGCCGATCGAAATCGCGGAAAACTTGTGTACGGGATCCCGACACGTCTGTAGCCCTGCTCCCTCCCTCCCTCCCACCTTCCTTCCCCCATCTTTCGTTCGTCTTATCGAAGGCTCGCGTGCTCTCGAGCTTTTCGTGTCCCGACGCCGGAGTTGTGGCGAGGGGAGTGCGAGGAGAGGACGAGGCGGGAAGGGAGAAGATTGATTGCGTCGAATCCCGCGTACAGTCGGCGAAAGAGAAATCGACGGATGCCGAGTTTCCGCGCGCGGCGTTTTAAAGAATCTCACCTGCGCCGCGCAGAACGACGAAAGGAGAGGATGTTTCTCAAAACGCGTGAATAAGGATGAACGCTTTGCCAGATTGGGTTAGCGCTTGTTTCGCTCCACGGTGGTACCGAGCGAGAGAACTCTTTGCGAGAGTGCTCGCCGATAATCGGAGAGGAGAAAGAGGCGGAAGAATCGAACCACGATATAATCTTCCGCGACTGCTGTTAACATTCCTCTACGTTATACTCTCCATCTTACTATCGATTTATCGTCATATTTTATATATTTTATATATTTTTTTAATCTCCACACAGCAAACGTTATCAAAATGTACAGCTAGGGATATTCTAATCCTGCGTGTCTCTACATTGAATTGTGCTACGTTAAATATTAATTAATAGAATTTAAAAATAAAAATTTAAAATACAGAAATTTCAGAACAACTAAATGTAGATTAAGGGACGTACCTCAACGTTCACGCCAGGCCGTGGGAATATCTGGGTCCTCTGGACGCTGTCCGGCACATATCGGAAGAATTCGTGATCGTCCTTGTACCATTTAACCGAGTAGAGATTGCTCACACCTAGTATTCGCCACTCGCACCTCAGCTCGATCGAGGTACCCACCTCGGCTTCTTTTGGCATCTTGAACTCCACTCTGATATCGCTGCTCGCTGAAACACAAATATATCCGAATTGTAGCATATCCGCAAAGTACATGACGCGTGTCATACACGCGAAGTCATTTTGGTCTTTATCGAGAGAAAAATTGAAAGATTGTGAAATTTAATTCGATATTACGATAAAACGACATATATATTATAGATATGTTACGAATTTTACGTGAAAGCTTTTATATAAAGCAAGTCAGCCATAACAAATCTTTACAGATTTTTTGTTTCTCTTTCTCTCGATTACCGCGATTTCCGCGGCAACATCATGCACTTTCTAAACATACGGATTACGTAACAACGAGCAGCTCAGCTTTCACAAATCTCCCGAGCTTGTTATAATTCTCGATCACGAATAGGGCTGCCGTGATCTCGCGTGGCGCACTCCAGCTTGCACCATTTTCGGGATTCCATTTCGTTAATCCACAGACGCGCACCGGAGAGGTCGACGTTTGGAATCCGCAGTCGCATCGCAATTACCGTCCGTGTCTGTCACTAACCGTAGGCAGGGACACGGGCGGTAAAAGGTTGGCGTGTGTTAAGCGCGAGAATAAATACGCGGTTACCGGAAGGGGTCAGAGGTGAGGGGGTCGAGGTTGAAACGCTGCGCGCTTGTATACGAGTTTCGTATACGCGATCCGGAAGTTCCCGCCGAAACTCGAAACAAATGCACTTCGCTCCGTGCATACGTAGGATAGTGAAACTTGCATGAAGTTATTGCGATATTACGGAATGACGTTTCCCGACCGGATTGCGACTTTCGAGTTTAATCGAAAGATGTGTGAGAAGTTAATGTGCAATAATTACGTGTAGTACCTGCAGTAAAAAAAAAGGGAATCTACGAATAATTAATGCAAAACCGTGCAGGAGGGGAGAAACGCGGATTACGTAACACGTCCGAAATTTATGAGATATTTACTTCCCCAGGATGTAATTATCTCATCCGTAGCGTATAATGATTAATTTTTAAATCGCATTATTTCACAGGAAACGCTTCATATACAAATATAATCACATCATTCCTCTTGTTTCATTCATATTGTAATAATTACGTATAATGCCTCGTCGTTACCCAATTATCATTATCGACAATTTGGTCCAAGTTATCTGTGAATTATAATCAACTGCGTTATACTACGGTATACTACGGCGAATTTGTTCAGTCGTACGAAAATGTCAATCGTGCGGTGAGAAAATTTATTCGACACTGGACCGCTGACGGCCTCGACAATAATTCTGGCGGATGGCTCATAATACGGCCAGGTATCGGATTAATTTGGAAGACCATGCTCCGGAATCGTCGGCCGGACGGGAGGAGAGCGAGGCGCGCGACGATCACGAGGCGTGTTAGGTTTAAGTGCGGCGGTTGTCGTTAAAGGTTCATCGGGTGGAATGCCGAGTGACCTCGCTCGGCCCTCTGCATTTGCTCTTCCGGTCGGTACCCGCAATTTACAGTCGTGCGTGTTAAGATTTAATGACGCGCGAATTTCGGCTTGCGGATTCAGGTCTCAAAGAGCCGGCTCTCGTAAATCTCTCGCGAGATCCTGAGAATTACAGATCGCGTAATAGATCTTAATAGTAGGTGTATCTCAAGTGAAAAAGTTATATAGAACTTTTCAACGTTATTTTAAGTAAGTACTGGTGGATGAGTTACTCGTCAAAATATTCAGAAATATTCTTCGCGGTTAATTAATTATTCAATTAGTTTCTGAAAAAAGCTTTGAACGATATGGATTAACTCTACATTATTAGCATTAGTTATTATTGGTTCTTTTTATTAAAATTAGTCGCGTAAAGTGTTTCTGACATCCCAATATTATATACAATTTCCGTTGTCCTTTCTAATGATTTGTAATTAAATAGAAATTGATAATTTTATATACGTCCTTTAGACAAAGATACACGCATACATTTTTGAATTGTAAAATAATTTGCGCTAAATATAGTAATAATAATAAATAGCATTGATATATTTAATAATTTATTATTAGATTGAGGTGTCTTGGACACGCGATTATTAAAGGGTTAATATGTCTTATAAGGATCATGAAATTTTAGTCAGGGAGATCTCATCTCCAAGTTCGATACAACTGATGTGTACACAGACTCGCAATATGCGGAACAGTACACTGACGTTCGACGGGACTGACCTAAACCGTCAATGTCAGTCGCAGCTGCTTCCGGCGGCGCGGTTTGCGTTTCGTGACGCGTTTTCGAACGCGTCTCCTCGCTTTCCCCGTCTTTCTCCCCCCCTCCTTCCCTCTCCTCCACGGTATCTTTCATCCGCACGTCGTCAATTCTCATCGTTACAACGAGTCGTTAACTTGCCAATGGGGTTTGACGTCTCATAGCTGAGAGACTGGCATCGCGAACCGTTTTCGTGCCATTTATCAACGGCACCTGGCGTATTGAAAACTGTTGCGACACGACGGGGACGGGACGGCGAAAAGGAAGGCGCCGAAAATGTACGGCGTCATCGATTTTAGCTATGGTATATTTCGAAGAGAATTTTAATCGCGCACAATGCACGTGTGACTGTTTTGTTATTGCGAAATGAAAACCTAGTAATATGAATAATAAGATCACTCATTCTATATATTGAAACATAATTTGATTTAATTTCTCAATTTATTTTAAATTTTCAATTGTACTCAATCCGGAAATAGTCACCTCGGGTAATTTTTGCACCTCAGCAGCGAGAAAATGAAGTTCAGTCACTATAATTTTCTTTATTAATTAAAAATCCATACCTATCTAATAATTTTGCTATTTCTTTTCTTACTCTTTTTATAAAATATTGGATAAATCTATATAGGTACATAAATGATCTTAAATACTAATAAATTGTAGAACATAATAATATGTAATTAATAATAGTGACTTTTAATTGGGGTGTAAAATTACCTCCAGTGATTGTTACGTAATAAAAAACTAGGTGATTATTTCCGAGTTAATCGTAAATATTTCCTGTTCTTTGTAAAAGCACCAAGAGAAGGTTCGTCGACAATCTTTTTAACATACCAAGCTATAAGAATACATTTTTAAGCTACTTGAAATTTATCGAGAGGCAACCACGTTTTTACGATCGTACTTTGCGGAGATCTCTCGCCGCGGTCGCGAAAATGAAGTCGGCAGAAGAGGGAAAGCCGCGAGACAAAAGCTTCCTTAAAATGCGCTCCGGAGCGACGACAGAGAGTCCGCTATCCGCGTTCTCAGTTCGCGCAGTTCCCATAAATCCCATCCTTTCCCTCTGCTATTCGTTACTTCCTACGACAAAGACAGCACATTACGCAAAGGAATTTGTCCAATTGTCTCGATCAAAGTCGCTCTCTCGCGAGTCGCCTCATATTGCCGTCGGGTTCCCGTCTGCATTCTGGACGGCTACAGCGGGGGAATATTTCTTGCTCATCGCGAAACGTTAAAGCTAAGTCTTTCAAACTTGTGCGGGGTCTCTCGAGCGTTGCCTTTTCGAGTGTCTGATCTCCGCCGGATTCCATTCAAGTCATGCAAGACCCCTCTCGCGAATTGAAATCGAATGCCTCGGCTACCTTTTCGCCGACGACCCTCGTCTCGCGCGTTCGTCCGTTTTCCCATTCGCATGAAATTTATCTCTAAACAAGGCATACATTTTCTTCGCCGCGAGTGTCTAGATTTGCGATTTCTCATCCGCGAAGCAAAAATATTGCGCCAAATCAAAAGCGTTTGCCGATGCGAACTTTTCATCCTCTTCGCTCAGCAAAGCGGAATAATATTTCTGACAGGGGAAGCGCTTCTGTGTATGTATTTCGTTTTAGCGTTTTATCCACGAACGTCATCGCTCTGATTTTTGAAACGCGGCCGCGTATATACACACGCGAACAAGATGTATTTCAACAAACTTATTCATTTCATTACATATTTAGGTACGCAATTAATATATTGCATCTCTGACGAATACTTTTTAATACAGTTTTTCATCAAATATTCTTCCTTTGCATCGATTGAACTTTTAATTAAAATTCGGAAAAAATAAAATCCGCGTTGGAATCTGAAAGTAATTTGCGCGCTAGGAGTTCAATATTAAAATTAAATTAAAATTACATTAAAATTATTTTACTCTAAAACTTTTAATTTAATTTAACATTATTTAATCATGTTATCACACAATAGAGTTTTTTAAAATATCTGATAACTTATATGTATGCTGCCGCCCAGACATTTTAATCAATATTAAGTGAGACGATAAATTACTTCGTGGACTTTCATCGGAGCGTTAGGTAAACCGGAGAACCTTTCGCGCGGAAACGTACGTTCACGTACGCGGCGCCGGCAACGAATAACAAGCTCATTCGCCTCTCCATCTCCTTGCTCATAATCGCCGCTCGTTAACCATCGCGCGGGCAGAGAAACGCCGTGGCGAACTCAACTGAAATCCACGGCGGCCCCTGATTGCGGGCGCTCGTTTTTCCGATTGCCGCAGCCGGTTGCCCGCAACCAATTTCTGCTCGGCGCGTTCTCGCGCGCGCGTTCGCGCAAAAGCAGCCGGAGCAGCCCTGATTCGAGGGAAAACGACTTCCGGCTAGCATCGCTAGTCGAAACCTCATTACCGCCCGAGGATTGCACGCCCTTTTCTCCAGGGGGGACGCCGGCGGGACGGGGAGAGCGAGGGGGATTGGATAAATAAAAGCGCTTTACGTGCCTTTCGTGGAGAGACACACGACGGCCACTTCGGGATGTTTCCCTTTGTCTCCGGATTATGCAAACGTGAATTCCCCCGTAGCAAGTCGATGCAACGAGTCGCGCCGCTTGGCTATAAGGAGAGGCGGGGAGGGTGCTCTCGCAATTTCGTGGAAGAGCTGCTCTTTGAAGTGGATGTAAACGTGAATGTCCTTTTTAGGATGGCGTGGGCTCGCGCGCGCGCGCGCGAAAAGGGTTCCGCCCGGAAAATGTTTTTCCTGCCGCTCTTATTGTAGATTTCGCTCGATTCTATTCCGCTGCACTCTGGTGGAATTTTGTTGATTGAC